GTTGAGGCTTGTGCCTATTACGATATGTGAATCGTTATTTTCTCGTCGACGAAGAGTCGTATGCAATTCTTGGATTACAGCAGTGGTGTTGCTTGTACTCGAAGGACCAAATGAATAAATACTGTGTCACGTAATGTTAATTTAGAACATATTATATTTCACTTCTTACAAAAATAAAACGTACGCTAATAGTAATACAGAAAGATGCGCACTCGGTGACATGTTGCGAGGAAGAAAGTAACGGAACAGGAAAGAACGCGCAACAGTGTAGGCAATGCCATGCTCGAAAATAAAACTAGATAGGCAGTGCTGCATAGAGGGCCTGAGCGGTACAAACAACGAGAGACTTGCGAGCGGGAAATAAGAACGCGTGTAGCGTGTACAAACCGCCGCCCTTGGAAGTATCGGTTTCCAACGAAATATTATATAAGTATACAAGCTTAAATAAACACAAAAATGACAGCATAAAGTTTACTAAAATAACATTTTAATGGTCATTATCAAAAGGAAAAATGCATAAACCTGTAATAAGACGCTTATAAATACCATTAGAAGTACGTACTGTGACGGTACGAACGACATTGTCATTACCAGGATGTAGTTCAAGAATCCTAGCGAGAGACCAGGATAAGGGGGACGTAGAATCCTCTCTTAGGAGGACCATCTGTCCGACATGCAATGAATTCTTCTTAGTCATCCATTTATTCCGCTGTTGGAGATGATGCAGGTATTCTCTTGACCACCTTCGCCAAAAATGTTGTCGTATTTGCTCGACACGTTGCCAGCGTGAGAGCTTATTAACTGGCAGTCTTTCTAATGAGGGTTCAGGATATGCGGTTAAAGTAGTTCCAATCAGGAAATGGCCAGGAGTGAGTGGTGTGAGGTCGGAAGCATCAGATGACATGGGTGTGAGAGGACGAGAGTTAAGAATCGCCTCAATTTGTATAACTAGAGTTTGTAGTTCTTCGTATCTTAAATGTGCTTCCTTCGTTACTCGAAGAAGATGACGTTTAGTTCCTTTGACAGCTTCTCAAAGTCCACTATGATGAGGTGCTCTAGGAGGTATAAAGAACCATTTAATTCCCTTAGTAGACACATAGTCAAAAATTTGTTGACGACCTTGTTGCTCCTTGAACAATGCAGCTAATTCAGCTAATTCTCGTTCGGCACCCCTGAAGTTGAGGACGTTGTCCGAATGAATAGTTGCCGGGCATCCTCGTCTGGAAATAAAACGCTTTAGAACATTCAAAAAGGCTTGAGTGATTAGATCGGTAGCTAGCTCAATATGAACCGCTGTTGAAGCAAAGCAAATAAATATGGCAATGTAACACTTTAATAATTTAGTGGTTTTTCTTGATCTTTCTTTATAGTAGAGAGGACCTGCGTAATCGACTCCACATTTCTCGAAAGGTCGTTCGGGAGTTGTGATTCTCGCTTCAGGAAGATTTCCCATTAGTGTTGAAGCTGTCCTAGGTGAGCTTAGAAACCAGATGGTGCACTTGCGTGTAATTTGTCTTACTACGTTCCTCGCACCTATGAGCCAATAATTTTGTCGAACTGCAAATAGTGTAGCCTGAGGCCCTGCATGAAAGTGCCTCTCATGCTCATGTATGATGATTTTGGCAGTGACTGTCGCAGGACTAAGAAGTCCAAGGGGGTCAAAGACTAAAGCGATTCTTGACAGTATGCTCCTTTTGGTAGGTGTTGTTAATGGTGGCAAACAGGCAATACTAGAAAATTTGAAATAATCGTGGGTACAGTTCCAAATAAGATCTAGTGTTCTTGTTTCACACTCCTTGTCGGAAGATAGCACGAATTCCTTCTCAAGATTGACAGCTTGGTTATCTCGAAGAGTTGATGAATTGGAAGACCATCTTCGTAGTTCAAAGCCGCCTTCGAGAAGCAATTGAGATGTTTCATCCTTGATAGTTGAAGCATCTTGCAAAGTATCTGCTCCTGTGACTAGGTCATCGACATAAAAGTCATTCAAAATCGTCCTGGATCCAATAGAATACCTGTCGGAACTGTCTTCGGCTAATTTCCTGAGAGAGCGAATAGCCAGGAAGGCTGCTGGAGCGGTGCCATACGTGACAGTCAGAAGCTCGAAGGTTTGAATAGGTTGATCCACAGAATCACGCCAGAGAATGCACTGAAGAGGAGTTTGACTGGAGTCGATTAAAACTTGTCTGTACATCTTTGCCACATCGGCAGTCATAGCGTATTTAAACATTCGAAACCTCGTCAATATTGAGAATAGATCATCTTGTAGTGTTGGGCCAACCAATAATGCGTCAATGAGATCCCTGAGGTTGTTTTGCAAGAACCATCGAAGACTACCCTAAGTTTGGTCGAGGTACTTGTTTCCTTAAAAACGGGATGATGCGGTAGGTAATATGATATATTGTTGCTCTCAGTTGGATGAGTCACCTCGCGCATATGTCCTAGCGCATATATTCCAACAAGAATTGTTTGTATTCCGTATGCATTTTAGGAGAGGTTAGGAAGCGTTTCTCCAGACATTTGAGCCGACGAATGGCTATTTCCTTGTAATCTCCAAGCTTGGATAGTTTGTCAGACTTGACTGGTAGCTGGACCACGAAGCGTCCGTCGCTGTTTCGTTTAACAGTATCTCTGAATAGGTTCTCGCAAGCTTGGTGCTCTGGAGAAAATTTCAATGAGGATATAGTGTGATCCACCTTCCAAAAACGGTTGAGGATATGATTCAAGTCTTCTGTTACAGCTAAGCAACTAGTGATTGAAGCCCCAATTTGTAGAAACACTTGCAGTCGGACCAAACAGAATCCATCCGAAGAGAGTCTTCTGCAAAGTTGGTTGATCTTTAGCAGATTTAATTTGGCCCGCGCAAATAAGTCTCCAAAATATTTCGGCACCGATTAACATGTCCACCTAAGCGGGAACATTAAAATCAGGGTCAGCCAACTTTAAAGTACTCGGTATGGTTATATTTTGCTTAGATATGAAATTCTGAGGTAATTGCTAAGTAATTCTTGGTAGAACGACACATTCCACGCTCTCGCTAAAATTATTGAACCGCGATTTGAAGCGTACGACGGCTGATTGATTGGCTTGAATGGTGCCATGAGTTACACCGGAAATGGATATTTCTATTTGTCTCTTATTGAGACATAGTTTATCAGCGAGGTCCTGCGTAATAAAATGCATTTGAGACCCGCTATCTAGCAACACGCGGCAAGAATGGATCTGATTATTATTATCAAATACGTAAATAATAGCTGTAGATAGTATAATTCCTAGAGAATGATGGGTTGATACGCATTGTGTTACCACTGGCTTCGCAGAGCCGTCGGGTTCGAGAGGAGTAGTTGAGCTAAAATTAGGAGCTTTGTTATCATCTAACGCATTTGACAAATGTAGTAATGTATTGTGTTTGCGTTTACATTTGCGACAAGACCTTGAAGTGCAATCTTTAGCTTGGTGCGATTGGGATCTTAAACAGTTAAGACACAAATGAGCCTTGTTTGCTAAAGCAATTCTCCGTTCTACCGGTAATTTGAGAAACGTTTCACAATAATATAGTGGGTGCGTCTCCTTGCATTGAGGACAAGGTGAATTAGAGGTAGCGATATTTGAAACAGGAGAAGCCTTTGACTTTGTCGCGATCTTTGAAGAATTAGCAGGTTGATTGACTGCAAGTTTACTAAAGATCGCTTCAAGCGCGTGGCAACGTTTTGAAAGAAAATCAGTTAATGATTTCAAAGTAGGAATCTCCCTGTCAGGCATGCTAGTTTCCCAGGCTTTGCTAGTGGCTGGATCAAGTTTTAATAAAATAAGATGAACTATTAAATCATCCCAGGCATCTGTGGGCCTTTTCATAGCCTTAAAGGCACGTAAAGGTTTTAAAAGTGTGTCTTACAATTCACGTAACTGAACATGATTTTCTTTCGTTAATGGAGTAATTTCGAATATAGCTTTAATATGTTTTTGTAGTATCCAGCGCTTGTTATCAAACCGTTCCTTAACAGCAGACCAGGCATCCTTGTAATTATCGGTAGTGGTTTCGATGGATTTTATTATTTCAGCAGCCTTGTCTTTGAGAGACGAACGTAAGTAATGGAACTTCTCAATCTCTGATAACCTTTGATTGGCGTGTATTAATTTTTCATACGTATCCTGGTACGAGTACCAATCTTCATAGGAACCTGAAAATACTGGAAGCTCGATTTTAGGCAACCTAACATGCGATTCCTTGTTTGTGGACGTGCTCGTATTTTGCGTATCGTTAGAAGTTGATGAAGAGATTCTAAGATTGCGTTGATCAAAATGTTCAAGTAAGGCTTCACAACGCGAAATCAGACTGAAATATGTTGATTTGAAATTTGCTCTGTGTTGCTCATGTTGAGCACGTAGCTCATCTTTGTTTTCAATTGATGGATCTTGATTCTCAAGTACTTTTATTCGCGATTGCACGACATCAAAAAGATTCCATAGTTCTATTAGCCTCTTTCTACGCTCAACAATGTCATATCGCGATCCATTATTAATATCAAAGTTTTCTATGGCAGTTTTGTGTCGCGTCAAGGAGGACTTTGCAGTGATACGTTTAGTCTTAGCCTCCGCTAAACACATTGAATCCATAGTTATAGAATTTGTGCTATTAGTAACGAGGTTAGAATGCCGCCCTTATTAGAGAGGGAAGTGCATGCGTGAGCATATATGTGTGTATGTATAGTATACAGTAACGAAGCTTCGAGGAGTGAAGACAATATGGCTATCTTACCTTGATTTGACGAAATAATCTTACCTAGCTACTTGAGTTGAGACTCTGTAAATCTGTTTGTTTATGCCTTTAATTGCGAGCGACAAATACGCTAACCAAAGCGGTGTATGAATGATTCTCGGCTTATACCTTGAATATTGCTGGCTCGGATTCTAGTATCCGGCTCGAAGGACCAACTCTGTTGAGGCCTATTACGATATGTGTATCGTTATTTTCTCGTCGTCGAAGGGTCGTATGCAATTCTTGGATTACAGTAGTGGTGTTGCTTATGCTCGAAGGACCAAATGAATAAATACTGTGTCACGTAATGTTAATTTAGAATATATTTCACTTCTTACAAAAATAAAACTAGATAGGCAGTGCTGCATAGAGGGCCTGAGCGGCACAAACAACGAGAGACGCGCGAGCGGGAAATAAGAACGCGTGTAGCGTGTACAATACAGATGATACATATATCATTAGATTTAGTAAATTTTGTGATATAATAATTTTCATGTAATAATTTTTGAAAGGGAATAAAGCCATTATAACTTAGGTTGGAATGTATCATATACTCGTACAAAGAATTTCATCAAACAGCAAACGCAATTAGTCATTAGTTCCACGACCGATTAAATAATTGACGTTGGTGTAACCGGCCTAAATGGTGGTTTCCATACCAGAAGCATGCACGCTTAGCACTTTTTTTACTTTTTTTAAAAAAGGTAATAAATATAACGTGGCAAAACGATATAAAATGGCGTACCGAATGATTAACATTTTTTACCGATATTATTTCAATAATGAATTAATACCGGTATTGTTTTTATTGTATTTATTTTTCTATACCGGTATTAATAATAATACTGATATTAAACCAATCCTGGTGCAAGATTCATATCGCTACTTTCGTAATACCATTTCGCGTGAGTGTTTAATATTGAAAATATAATTTATACGGT